GACCCTCTATTGTGTCATCCATCACGTCTAAAGTGTGTACTTGCCGCGGTTAACTAGCTATAACAACATAAAAATGCAAGCTTAAATTTATATCTTCTAAATTGCCTGGACTACCAATTAATGTGATCCAAGGGCCCATATGCAAATAATTATCAATTTTATCCAATGATTTTGGTTATAATTCAATTCAATACTAATTGAGGATCTTTGAACACTTAAGGCCAAAACTAGCCTTTACTTCTAAAGACTACTCAACTAAGTATCTCTCCTCATAATGCCATTTATCACAACAAATCACATGCATGAAACACTTGCATGCATAAAACATGACCACAAAAACATATCATGGAATTATCCTTAATCATATAAATACATTTGCAAGTTAGCCTTTCCTAAAAATATAAGGCTAACAACCACAAAAAATGCCTAAAGTTGATAATTAGGGCTCTCATGCAAATGAATGATAATCCACACAAACAAATATAATCCTAACATTAGCAAAACTTAATATCCATTATAATACAAAAGCTACTAGAAATATTACTACTTGAAACTCTAATGTTTGGCTTCTAAAGCTTCCCCTTTGTCTTTTACTTTAAGATCTCCTAAAAAATATTAATAAATAGGAGTGGGATTAAACAATATCAACAACCAAGTAATTTAATTAACACATATTAAAGTGTAGCATTCACAACAAATAAACATATAATAAAACATGAGGCAACCCATACATTAATGACAATATAACATATGACTTAGTATGCATGATCAATCCAACCACCTTACACAACTTCTTGTATCATTTGATCAAATCCATGAAATAATACCTTATATAGGTCTAATCCATATGACTGAACTAGTCTTACTCTTCAATTGTGAGAAGTCATCCAACCAAAGGCTTTCATACTCACTCTCGAACCATAAATTTTCCTTACTCAAATTTCAAGGTGTCATAAGTGCCTAACACACATTATTCAGGAACCAATGATACTAAGCATTGTACTAGACTCATATCATATTCGTAGGTTATTGGCAATGTTAAGCGCATTTAATAATTAAATTTGCCAATCATTGTGCACAAACTCAATAGAGGCCATACCTTGTGGATTTATCCAAAATCATATCCTTTACTACTCTAAGGTGAATTCTCATTCATCATGATCATGTAAGTTCATCCTACATATACAAGACAAACTCATGTGTATATCGTAATAATTCAGCATATTCATAATTTTAAGAACTTTCATGCTTAAATCAGCTCATACAACAACATAACCCATAATAGCTCATCGCCTCATCATCATAAAATCAATACATAGCCAATCCAGGCTCGATAATTTCTAATCATATAGTCATGTGGTAATTATACACAATTAATCACCAAGTGTAATTCATCACACAGAGGCATACTCCATAACTCATGTATCAAATCCCAAAGCTAAACAATTTCATTATCATGCTTTTATTGCTCATTCTAAGCCATCAACATCATTAATATGATTTTTCAAATACAATGATATACTCAAATTAAATTTCTAGTTACCTCCACTCCTGGGCTACCATACTAAAAGTCAAGTTTAAATTTTCCAAGGGAGCTTCTTCGAACACGAGCTCTAAGTAGAGGTGTTTAGCTTATACCCATCCTAATTGATCCGATATCATCCCCATCATATTGAGATGGGTCCCATCCCAGTCTAAAGACAATCGAGATGGGACTTTGCTGGATGAGATAGGAAAGGGGTTCGGGACGGGATGAGATACAAGATTATTATCGAGACGTCCTGCCTGTCTCGAATATTATATATGTTATTTTTTATTTTAAAAATATATATTAAATATATTAATATAATTTATACTTATATTAATTATATTAATTATAATTTCAATACTTACAATTTTTATATAAAATTAAAGTTTTTTATATTGATAATTTTAATGACATAAAGTAAACAGGGTGATATCTTTTTTTATAATATATTAATTACATTTATATAATTTATTTTTATATCTATCTATTTAATATTTTTTATTTATATCATATTTTTATTTTATTTTTCAAAGAGTAATTATCTTAGCACATTTTAACTAAAGTAGAAGAACAATAATTTAATGTTGTACTTTACTCACCTATTATTGATACTCTTATAGTCTAGAGATCACTTATAATTGCTATCATAATATGTAGTTATGATTAATGTAATTCAATAATTAACTTAAAATTGATGTAATTTATGTACTTGTATTGTTTTGACTTTAAACTTAATAAATTATATAAAATTTTAATAAATGTCATTATCTAGATTTTTTTTCAACATTGTTTGATTTATCAGGATGACGAGATGTGCTGATCTTGTCTTGATTCCTAATGGAATGGAATTCGAGATGGTATGAGACACAGCGTAAAAATTCAATCCCGATCTTTTATTTGAGATGGGACATGGGATAAGGGTGTCCCGGTCTCATCTCGTCCTGTGAACACCCCTAGCTCCAAGTACAATCAGTCTATAGCAATAATCTAAAAAAAAGTATTAATGACTAATCGTTATTAATTAACTATAACTAGCCCCTAAAACTCATTTTCATTAGTTTATTTAACTCCTATTAAGCTTAATGATCATTGCTAGCCATTCTCATTAGCTTACACTTAATTATTTAACATTAAGGTTAACTCTAAATCCTTTATTTATAACATTTAAGACTTTCGACAGCCAACACCTAATGGTAGAAGCATTAAATAGAATCCTTAGACTCCATTTAAGCCATAAGGAGGGTTGTTACTTGACCATAAATTTTAACTCAAGCCATACCTATCCGAATAAGTGTAGAAACTTCAGGAAGAAGAGATAATAGTGAATTAGGAATCTCACGCAAGGTTTTGAATGCCTAAAATTGCCTCTAAAAATCCCACAAGCAAACCCTAGTAAAGATTCATCGTTTTACTCTCCTATCTCCCTTGAACTTTCTTCTCTTATGCTAAAATGAGTTGTAGAATTGGGATTTAAAATCTTATCACATCCATCATGGCGCATGGTGTTGTCTACCATGATGGATGGCTTAAAACAAACGGCATTACTCAAGCAAAAATTTTGAATCCAAAATAGCCTAATGGCCTCTCTGACCCCTTTCTAAGCCTCATATAGGCTCCAATAGGCCCACATGGCCATCTTAATTTTATAATTAACTCCTAATCACCTAGATTAACTAATTAAATCCCTTAATTAATCAGTCTAACCCTTAGATTAAAATTTAGAATATTATAGACTACTTCTGATGTTAAAGGCCATTCGTTATGCTCTCTTCTTCACTAAGCATCAATGGTGGATTGCAAGTCCTATGTCTATTCCTTTACTTCTTACTATACCACATACCTCTTATCATGACTTTGTTTTTGGATTGCAATAACCACATTATACGTTAAAGTTGTTGCAAGCCGCTATCCTCTTTTAATTGCTAGTTTTCCAGCTGTGACTCTAGTTGAATGTTAGTTTTTTATTCTTTCTTGTAAAATATCTTATTACCTTAAAAAATATCCAAGCCATGAAAGTTGGATAATGCAAGTTGTGCATTTAAATACAAAAAAGTTATATTATACTAAGTATATTTTTTGGTAGGAGACAATGACCTATAATATCCACTCACCTGCTCATATTTACACTAAGGAAGGAACACATGTACCCACTACAAATTTTCCCGCTTTGGGAATTGAACGTTCATCCTCCTTATTGTAAGAGGACTGCACACACTACTAGGTCAAAAGGCCATTGGTTACTAAGTATATAGATGAATGGATGAACCATGATAATGCAATATTTTTTATGCATAAAGATGAATGAGGCCTCTTGTCTTAATTATAAAGTAAAGTTTTAAAATTTTATTTACTTTTAAATATAGAAAAAATATATAGTGGTTAATTTTTTATATTATCCCTAGTAATATCTAAACATACTTTATTATAATTATTATAAATTTTAATTTAATAAAAAAATTTGAAAGGTCAATTTTTTAACAATTCATCATGAATAAAAATATGAACATTAGTTACTTTTTTTTTTAAATGTGAAGTTATTAAATTAACTTGATGTGAGTAATGTTTTAGTTCATAGCATGCAAAGTTATTAGAGCTGGACTGGTTAGTGTGGCTAGTTTAACTGAAAACTAGTTAGGTATGCGGTCCAAAAATGGTGCACAAGCGGGGGAGGAGGGAGAACCACCTTCAAACCTGCTTAATCTAATCTAAACTGAGAGAACTGACAAGACGACTCACTTATATATATATATATATATATATATTCTACTATGTCACAGAAGGGAATCATGCAAATGGGATCAAACTTCCTAAACTTACATCACTTTGCTCATGCAGCTAGAACCCTAATCCCTCTTCGTGTTCTTCCTTCTTTAACAGTTGACCATCTTCCATTCTTACTCTATCGATCATCTTCCTCTTCTCTATACATCAATCTTTTCAAAGTCATCACCACTCATCTTACATCTCGAGTTCTCCTCGCTCATGTTCTTCTTGTTCTTTGGCGTTAATCTCTTCAAACTTCATCGTCACTTATTACTCATCCTTAGTCATGTTGTTCCAATCGTTCCAACCATTTAATCGTTATAGTTGAGTTTCTCTCCTCTGTCTCACAGCTTTGTCTTCGATAGCTGAATTTGGATTACTAGATTGTATGAAAATGTTAGGTCGATGTGTTGTGCTATGTATGGTTGGGGATGACATTGAATGTAGATGTTTCCTACTTCCCTTTATCGTTTCGTTTGTATCAAATTATCAGTGAATACTTGGACTTATATGACTATGAAGTTTAAAGTATGATGATATTATTATTTTATTAGTGATAAGTTTCCTTCAATTGATCAGTTTTCCTGTAATTTTTAATGCATAATATTTAAAATATATTCATAATAATTTAACTATAAACAGTTCGATCCTAGCTCGACATTTAAACCATAAACTACTACCTTATTGACTTAATGGTAAATTCTGTAAACATTGGCAGAAAGCGTAGCACTCGTGAAGGCGCCGGAACAAACGCAAGCTGTGCTGCACGCTTGTGTCATTTTCCTTGGAGGCAGAAAGCGCGCCAAATCAACGAATCCTTTTACCCAGTTCGTCGCTTCTGAACCTCTCAAGTGACGGACCCACATCCGCCGCTCGGCCACCCAGCACGGTGGCGCTACCACCACCGGCATGGGAAAGCAAAAGCAACAAGTCATTTCCCGCTTCTTCGCGCCCAAATCAACCGATTCATCATCTTCTTCTCGTCGTCCGAACCCTCCAACCCCTCCTCCCAAAATCTCGGCCACTGTCAGTTTCTCTCCCGCCAAACGCCTTATCGCTTCTCAGCTAACATCACCGGATAAGCCTTCGAAAATTCCTAAACGCTCTCCCCACACTCAAAACCCTATACCTCCTCTTCCCGAGCCCTCCCTCCACCAGAGATTCCTCCAGAAGTTTCTCGAACCTTCCTCTGACCTTCCAGAGGCTTCTTCGGGGATTCCGAAGTTGCAGTCGTCTAAACCGGTTAAGTATACCCCTTTAGAGCAGCAAGTGGTGGAACTCAAGAGTAAATACCCAGATGTTCTTCTAATGGTTGAAGTTGGCTATAAGTATCGATTTTTCGGCGAAGATGCTGAAGTTGCAGCTAGGGAGTTGGGGATATATGCTCATATGGATCATAATTTCATGACTGCGAGCGTACCAACTTTTCGTCTTCACGTACATGTGAGAAGGCTAGTGAGTGCTGGGTACAAGGTCGGTGTAATTAAGCAGACTGAGACCGCAGCCATTAAAGCTCATGGGTCGAATAGGTTGGGTCCATTTTGTCGAGGGTTATCGGCATTGTACACAAAAGCAACACTGGAGGCTGCCGAGGATCTGGGTGGAAGGGAAGAGGGCCGTGGATCTGATAGTAATTATCTACTTTGTGTTGTTGAGCAGAGCATTTTGGGAGAAAACGCAAAGCGTGGACTGGAAAGTGGTTTTGAAGTGAAAATTGGAGTTATTGGGGTGGAAATATCAACTGGCGATGTTGTTTATGGGGAATTTAATGATAACTATTTAAGGAGTGCACTTGAGGCTGCAATTATGAACTTGTCTCCGGTTGAGTTGCTTCTTGGGGACCCACTGTCCAAACAAACAGAGAAGGTAATCTCTATTTACAAGAATGTTGCATGGTTACGTTTCTTACAAGAAACATTACTTTTCCCCACGTTTCAAGAATTGCAATATTGCTTCGTTATGTTGTAAAGAGAACTCCAGCTTTTAGACCGAGTAATTTTGACTTTGAAGCCCTGGTTGCTTAGTGAATTCTTTCTTGGTTATCCTTACTACATGGATTAATGGGTAGAAGTGACAATTTAAAGGAGCATAACTGTGAAATCTTCATTTTGCTTACAGTGCTTATCCTTGCTGTAGATTGTTAGTTTAGAACAAGGATGCTAGTAAAAGTTGATTTTGCACCTTCGTCCCCTCAGAAAAACAAAGTACTGAAAGCAAAGTCATGGCTTTTGGATTTCCTCAACTACTAACAACAAGTGGGTTTGTTAAAATAAATGGACGGACATTTATCAGGTGAAAAACGATCAGTATTGTTGTTCAATTTGTGCAAAATATCAAAAAAAAAAAGATAGGGTGTTAATCAAAGAAACAACTTGAAATGCAAAGAGCTTGGGGAAAGAGAGAAACGAATTTTAAAATGTATCTTGGTTTGACTCCAACCCAAGCCTTGAACAAGGTGATGTGAATTCACTGTTTCTAATTCAGTTGAATGGTTTAACAATATGGTTTGATTTCTCATCTAGATTCAGGAAGAAGCATTTTGACCGACTCATCACCATTATTTATGATTTTTTCCTATGTGATATTCATGAAAGAAACTTGTGGTGCATGCATTCGTTCCAATAAGGTGCTTTTTGATATTTTGTTTTCACATTTTTTTGGTCTGATTAACAACTAGCAACATTACCTGGATTTACTTTCAGCTTCTGAATAGTGCCGCAAGTCAAAAAGGCAATGATAAGTATCATTTCACTTCTTTTTTTCTTTCTCCTTTTGCTTTTCCTTTTTTTCTTTTACTTATACATATGAATCCTAGGGGAAGATGCAGAAACCAGAAGTAAAATGATCCTATCCAAACTTGAACCTAGAGTATCTTCTACCAACAATGTGAGCCAAGGCCATAAAAAAGGATTTTGACATAGAGAGCTTGACCTTTTGGGAGCTGAACTTCACCATTGGATTATTTCAAGATATGTGTGTATGGTAATGAAAAGTTGCTTTACACAGGTCTTGGGGAAATCTCCTGGTGTATCATTCCCCTTTGCAAAATGAAACTTTCCTTCTGGTTTTCCTATTAGTTGTCAAAACGGTTTCCCTTTTATACTAGCAACTTTGGATAAACTGTGGGTCACTAATTTGTGATTATTTATGGGCCAACTTTTTTAACTGGGTGGAACTTATTGGTTCAATATCAGCATTTTCTTTAATTTGGTTAAAAGCAGGATTATTTTATATATTGATCGATAATTATTATGGTTCTCATAAAGGAAGTTCGTTGTTATAATGGGTTTTTCTGTGGCTCTTGATGTATGCAGATATGCATCTGTATGTGCTGATAATTTACTACATCTCTATATCTGGAGAACATTCAGTGGTTCTCATTGTTTTGCCTAAATGTATTGATTGGAAAATTTTTGAAATGATTTTATGATTGAAAGTTATTTCTAAATCTGATCAATTTTTACTGTTGTATATAATTACAAAAAATTTGAAGTTTATCTCAAATCATGTATTTCTAACGAAGAGACCCTTATCTGATGATAACTATGGATGAATTGCTTGTTTTAGTCCATATAGAAAAATTTAAATGAATTAATATCAGTTCTCTATAATGACAATCGCCTGATGTAATTAGATCTTATATTATTAGTTGTTACTGGCTTATGCTGGGCCTGGCTCAAATGTTCGTGTGGAGCGTGCTTCACGAGATTGCTTCGCCAATGGAGGTGCTCTTGCTGAAGTTGCGTCTTTGTATGAGAACATGGATGTTGACAGTCCATCAGAACCCATGCAAGGGAATGAGTTAAATGAGCATGGAAATTGTCAGTTGTCAATCAAGGTACATTATTTCGTAAAGGAAGTCATGAACATTGCTGATTTAGCTGTCCGAGCTTTGGCCTTAACCATTCTATTTAATCTCTTCTTTTTTCTTCTTTTTTATTGTAAAGGAGATCATGAACATGCCTGATTTAGCTGTCCAAGGTTTGGCATTAACCATTCGTCATTTAAAGCAATTTGGTTTTGAAAGAATAATGTGTTTAGGAGCTTCTTTGAGGCCCTTATCAAGCAATATGGAAATGACCCTCTCAGCCAACACGCTTCAACAACTAGAGGTATTTGTAGATATTGTATTGAGAGTGTTTAATGCTAATTGGGCCAATATTTCTCCCTTGCTAGTTGTATCTACTTTCACTGTTTATTTCAAGATAGATTGACAATTATAAATTATTCTAGCGGTGATTATTATTCAATCTGGTTAAATTGCCAAGAATTTTATCAAAAGGTTGTCATGAAGAAGTTTCTTGTTACTTGAATGAATTTAATATTCCACAATTAACATGGCTCCACCATTGCACTGACACAACAATCACCACTAGAAACTAGTTCTTCAAACATGAACATCAAATACATGTGTGCACATACCCAAAAGAAGGAATATTGTTTGAAAGAAAAACGAAATGATAAATGGATTAATTGGTCACAATAATATCATCTGATCAACCCAATTCTATTACAGCCCCTTTTCTTTCTTCGGTTAAAGTTGAAAACCGACTGATTCTGCTAGATTTATATTTAACTATGGCAATGAAGCATCCTAATTTGCTACTTGCAACAACTAGTATTCTTTTTTTTTTTTTTTGGAGTTACAAAGGCAAGCCAAAGCTTGTAGAAACTAAAAGTTACAAACTAGAGATCTTTGTGAGACAGCAAAACAAACTATTACTAAGCATTCCTCTAGTCTTCAAGAAACTTGTTCAAACATCTAGTAGGGACATTCGGGATCAAGAACAAATCAGAACTATCCTGGTAAGCTCCCTTAGCCATAAAGTCCGCACATAGTATGTGTTCCTGACTAGTATAACATAAAGAAGCATCCCAACCTTCATATAGCATTTGCCAAATCTCCAGTGAAAGTGTTTTCAAAGGAAGTTATAGCAAATTATCACGGCTCAGCAAATTTATAGCATTCAAAGAATCTGAGTAAATCTGGATTTTAGACAGCTTAAGCTGCTTGGAAATCAACAAACCCACTTTAATTGCCATCAATTCAGCTTCAATAGGGGAGCAGAACTTCAAGTCTTGTTAAAGGCCCATTATCCATTCTCCCCTGTGTTTTCTTAATGCGCCACCACAAGCTGCACAATGGTTACATTGGACCGAGCCATCAACATCTACACGAATATAATCTGGTTGACATGCTGTCCAGCATTGTTCCAGAGGATGATTAAACTGGAAAATCTGATGCTTGAGTTCATTGTTAGCAACCAACTCCATGAGAAGAAATTTGCATCTATGGACAATATCAGTTTAGTGAAAGTAGAGCCTTCAAAAATTGTTTTGCAGTGTGACATCCAAAGGGTCCAACAAATAGTCACGAACACTCTTGTCTAGGTTGATGCTTTGAAATTATCCTTCGCTGGGTGGTGCTTTGAGTTTCATTGTAGCCATACTTGTAAGTTGCCAATGAAAAAACTAGAGAAAGCATTAGTATTCAAAATATTAATCCACACTTCTTTGGCTCCCTCACAATCTCTCAAGATATGTAAGATAGATTTCTCGCTATTACACTCAAAGGGGCAAAGATTAGTGTTCGATCCTCTCTTAGCTCTGAGTAAGTTTGTCATCAATCTTTCATGGAAACTTGCCACATGAAGAATTTGACTTTTTTGAGGATTTGCCACTTCCATAGCTCGCACCATATTGGGGACACCCTCCATCTCCATAATGAAAGAGGGAGTCATAAGCACTCTTAACTGTAAACTGGCCATACCCTGAGTAATACCGATGTATGCCATCTTCTTCATCTGAGACAAGTGGTTGAATCTTTAACAAGAGAGAGATCACCCAGCATGGTAGGATCTCCTTTCATCCCTATACATTCTAATGACCATTAGGTAGGACATGATCTCGGACACTGTCACGGGGGTTGATTAGGTCAGATCGTGTAGCATATTCGATGGGCGGTTTATCCAAAGGACTCCAGCAATCCCACTAAAACGTTGTTGATCTATTGTTATTGACCTTTTTCCCAAGTCTCTCCTTAAAAGTATCCCATACTTTAGAAATAAACCTCCACGTGAGAGAAGCATTTTTGAATCTTCTAACCCTAGGAATAGGAGAATCCCCACACTTGTATTTTGCTTTCAGACATTGTACCCATAACGCCTCGGGTTTCTTTATCATACCCTAACAAAGTTTCATTATAAAGGCCGCATTTTGCTGTCTTAAATTCTTATTGCCAAGTCCACCTTCTTTCTTAGACTTAGTGACTTGTCCCCAAGCTACAATGTGCATCTTCTTGGTTTCTTCATCTTGACTCCATAGGAAACTTCTACCAAGCTTTTCAAGATCACGAATAATACCCTTAGGAAGCAAAATTGATTGCATGTGGTAGCTAGGTAGAGTTGAAAGAACTTCTTTAATAAGAACCGTTCGACCAACTGTAATCAATGGCTTCCTTTTGCAAGGTGAGAGGCATTGTTTTGCCTTTTGGACAATTGAACTGAAGATTGAGTTCGTGATATGTGAATGTATCAAAGGGATCCCTAGATACTTCCCCAAAACAGCTGTAACTCTAATACCCAAAGCTTGACTAAGTTCTAGTTTTCAATTAATGTGAATGTTTCTCGAGCAGAACATTTTAGATTTCTCCAAATTAATTTTGTGGCTTGATGCATCACAAAACTTTTGCATGCTTCTCTTGACAACCCCCATTTGTTGTAACGAAGCCTCCGCAAAGAGTATAAGATCATTAGCGAAAAAGAGGTGAGATATGCATGGGCCTTGAGTTCTGAATCTAAAAAAGCTTCCATTAGTTCACATCACACTCTTTTTTAATCAGCTGGCCAAGTCATTTCATGCATAGTACAAAGAGATATGGATTTAGTAGGTCTCCCTAACGGATGCCTCTGGAAGGATAGAAATCTGGACCATCTTCCCCATTCCATAACACTCGCATAGAAGCTGTACTAATGCAAGCCATGATTAGATTAACAAAGTGGTGTTGTAGACCGATTTGCACTAGAGGATCTTGGATGAAATTCTAGTCTAGTCGATCATAAGCTTTTTCCCTATCGACCTTTATTGCCACAAACCCCTTTTTCCGCTTGCTCATTCTCATTGTATGATAACTTCCTGAGCAATAATGATATTATCACAGCCAGTTCTATTTGATATAAAGCTACATTGTTCTTAGGCAACCAAATCATTCATCACAACCTTCAACTGATTGGCTAGAAGTTTCGTAATGATTTTGAAACTCACATTGCAAAGAGAGATGGGACGAAACTCCTTAAGAGATGTAGGATGATCAACCTTTGGTGAAAGAACAATTTTAGTTTGGTTAACTTCCTTAACCACTGAAGGGTTTAAGAAGCATTCTTGAACCAAATCAAAGATTTTATGGCCAATTAAATTCCATTGAGTTTGAAAGAAATGAGCGTGCAAATCATCCGGCCTTGGTGCCTTGAAAGCACCAATAGAAAAGGCAGTATTTTTGACTTCAATAAGGTCAACCCTTCTTTGAATCCAATCCAACTCTCTTTGAGAAATACTTGGGAAAGTTGATAGCCAATCAACATTAGCAGTAAGCTCTAGATCTCTAGTGTAGAGTTGCTGAAAGTATTGACATGCCATATTTTTCAATTCTGTTGAGTCATGTACCTAGTTGCCATAAGAATCTTTGATAGCTGAAATTTTCTGCCTCTTGCTATTGGAGATTGTGGGTGCATGGAAAAATTTAGTATTCTTATCCCCTAATTGCAGCCACTTTACACCTAGATTTTTGGAACTAAAATAATTCTTCTTGAGCTGCAACTTTATGGTAATCTCACCAAAGTTGGGCTTGAAGACGTTTGAGACCCGACTGGAATTGGGAAAGATTTCTCTTCTCAATCCCTTCGATTCTGTGAATAATTTCCTTCTTTTTATAAGCAAAGTTCCCCACTTGGTTTCTATTCCATGCCTCTACTAATTGTTGGAAATGAGGGACACTACTTATCTAATCCACATTCTCCCAAGAACCATGAACCACATCTTTAAAGGAGGCTTCAAATGACCATGCAGCTAAGTAGGTGAAACGACGAGTGTGCCTAGGTGAAGGAGTATTACCATATGAGTTTACCACAATGACTTTATGGTCAGAATTAAACTTTAGTTCATGTATGACCTTGGTTGCTGGAAAGATGGATTCCCAACAAAAATTATGGAACACCCAGTCTAGTCTTTCGTAAACATTATGCTACTCCTAGGTAAAACGGTTCCCTTCAAAGGGAGGATTTAAGAGTCCAGTGCTCGTGATACAGTCAGCAAAATCATGTACAGGTTTCATGAGTGGTGGTGCGCCTCTCTCTTTATCACTTGGGTCCAAATATAAGTTAAAACCCCTAAGGACTAGCCAAGACATTGTCATATTAAGTGCCAAGTGTTTAAGGGATTCCTATAAGACAGTTCTGTCACCTGCTCTAGTTTCTCCATAGACAAATGGGACAAACAAATCTCTATTATTTTGAAGATCAATGATTTTACAATGGAGGAGATGAGTATTAGAAAAGATGTAATCCACTTTGCAGTTACACATATTCCACAAAACCCATATTCCTTCGGCAAATCCATTTGCCTCAACTTGAATCCAATGGCGGAAACTCAACTTTCTAACAATGCCATCCGCACGACTACCACTTACACGTGGTTCCAATAAACATAGAACATCAGTTTTGCATCTATTGACAATATCTTTAATAGTGATAGGGAAAGCACGATCACCAGCTCCCTTACAATTCTAGGATGCTATAATCATTATAAAATCCTTAGGGAAGAAATTCGAGAAGAACTTACTGTTTTTCCATTGCAGAGGTGCAAGGCACCATATCCTCTTCCTATGTCTCAGCCACCAGAGAGCTACTCTCCTCAATAAATTCATTTGCATCATCGAACTCCACCTCGTGGGGATCTGGCGGTTTGGGACGCATGAGTTGAGAAGAGTCCACTCTGCTCAAATGTCCAGTTGCTATTGCCTTGGTTATGTCTTGATCTAACTGAGGCGTGTGTTCTACATCAGTCTCCCTTGAAGTTAATTCTACACCTTTAATTTTACACTGGACCAGTTGATCCAAATTGCCACTAACCACCACATGACTTCTAAGCCTTGTACTTTTGGACTTATCTTTGACATCTTGGTCAAATACAAGAGGCCTAGTTCCAGAGTGTACATTCTGTGCGTGATTCTTGGGTCCAAGCCCAGAGTTCGGCCCATGTGTGTTAGGCTGAACGTTTTCTTTTCCTTTCGGTTTATAAGTTACTCTACTCTTACTACCCTCTAGCTTCTTAGTTCCAACTTTTTTGCTGCTAGACCACTGGCTTTTTTAGCTCCCATTTCGCCCTTGTTAAATCGAGCAGCCTCATTTCCTCTCATGTTAGAGTGTCCAGGTTCTATACTTTGGTATAGACCTCTTTCTTGTGTTAGTTGGTCATCTTCTTCTAGGTCCTCTATCACAGCAGACCGTGATTTTTGAACAAAATAAGCCTCTTTTCTATCTTCTTTTTTGAAGTGAGCTTATATGCCTTCTTTGACTTTCAGACCTATCCATTCTCCTTGGGAATCAAGGTGCTGTGAAACCCAGCTTGATCATCCATGTACCAAAAATATTATTTTTTCCAGCATACGTACTCACGTTTGACTGAGGTTTCGTCGAGTTTACAATCAGCGTTGATTTCTCAAGTGGAGTCCCATTCTGCTGAGTGCTTAAGTTGCATTTCTAGGGGTATGCTTCCCTACGATGTCCAAATCGCTCACAAGCAAAGCAAACAAGGCCTAATCCCTCATATTCAACATTAAACACCTCTCCAGCAGCGATTACACGAGGAACAAGTTGTTTTTGAAGATCTAACTCAACACATATTCTTGCAAACCTCCCTCGTTCAATCTTTGCATCTTTTGCTTGCAAGTCAGCTAGTGTGTTGAGGTCAACTTTTAGCGTTCTTCTGATTCTATCACCCTGTCTTGCTATGAAGTGGCTGTTATAACAGTATATGGGAATATCTGGTATTCTAACCTGCATAGCTATACGACCCAAAGGATTTTTATGAGGATTAAAGTATGGTGTCCATCTTTGAACCAGCACATAGTGTTGCCCAATAACCCAAGGCCCTTCATATAAAACTTTTTAGTATTGATGCTTCCAATTTTCCGTCTCTTTTAAACGTCATTGAAAAATAATTGTTTGGTAAGTCAATCAGTTTGAAGCTAGAAAATCCCTAAAGTTTGCTAAGCCAGTTTTTCAGCCTATACACATTAAACTTCTTGCCTAATACTGTCAGAACAAGAACATAATTCCATTGTTAACACCACTCATTAAATTCTTCCTGGGAAATCGGTATTACCGGATAGATCTCCATGAGCTTCTTTACTTCTTCTGATGGTTCTGGTAACTTTCAAGATATACCCTAGTCGTCATTAAAAAGTTCAACTTCTTCCATCGAGTAACCTCCGTGAGTCACCTCATTGAAGTTCATCAGCGATTCTCTGTATGAGACCATTGGTTTTTTCTTGCACTCTTTCAATGCATCTGTGTTATTCTTCTTGCTAAGCTTATCGATTTCTTCAGTACCTTTTTCCTATTTAAGATCATCCATAATGGCCTGAGGTACTTCCTCCACTTTCTTCTTCTTGCTACGACAATCATTTTCCTCTTGAGAAGGCCTGTTTGGCGGTGTTTTCTGGTGGCCAAGATCAGTCATGGTAGTAATGCATGTATCCCCAAAGAGAGAGACTAAAACCTACTCAGAGCTCCCCCCCCCCTAAAAAAAAAGAAACAATCCTATTTCAACCCACTTTTTGAAAGTCATTTTAACAACTAGTATTCTTTGATAGGAACAACAGGTGCCACAATTGTGAATGGTCGCATACCATTCTTTGACCTCATTAGATGATTATTTGTTTTCCTCTCGTGTGGTTTTTATATTCTAGAACTGTATATTTTTGCTTTTGTAATTATCAAAATTATTCTAACTCTTGCTGCATATATATGTTCTCACATGTTCTCACTTTTTAGGTTTTAAAAAATAACAGCAATGGATCTGAGACTGGCTCGTTGCTGCAGATTATGAATCATACTCTTACAATATTTGGTTCCAGGAATCTTAGGCACTGGGTATGGATTACATTATTACTGATATACCACCATTTAATGTCAATTCCCCACTGACAAAACAAAAGGAAACAAAATGATTTCTTGAATATTTGTGCATGATACAGGTAACTCATCCATTGTGTGATAGAACAATGATTTCAGCCCGTCTTGATGCTGTATCTGAGATAGCAGAATCCATGGGTTCTTGCAATGTTTTGAAGAATCTAAAACATGTCAAGGAAGATTCTGATGTAGCAGTAGTGCAACCTGAGTTATCTTTCATACTTTGTTCAGTTTTGACAAATCTGGGTCGGGCACCAGATATACAGCGTGGGATTACAAGAATTTTTCATCTGACTGCTACCCCATCAGAGGTAATAAGCATCTTATTGACCTGTCGTGTGTTCCATATATTCTGAAATTTAATCGTCTTTTCTCATCTCCTTGGTCTCTTTGTACTTTTTCTTTAGAGGGCGACAGATAGAAAAGGGAGTAACATTCTGTTGGTTCCCAGATTTTGTTCCATGCTTAATTTATGGAGAAATAACATGCTAAGAATATGTTAGCACTATTGATATATGGTTTTCAAATGAATATCTTTTGTTGGAGTTGCTAAAAATAGTGCATAAATTTGAAAATAGTCTGTTCTGATTATAGAAGGAAGTGTGTGCATGTGGATGTCGGTATATTTAATAGTTTGACATAGTTGAAGCCTGAACATCTGATATACAAATGTTTATTCACCAAATTTGAGTATTTGGAGTGTGCTATTCCCTGTAGAAAGTAGAAGGTAAGCCATTTTTTTCTCGTCTGTTGAATCTATTGCCTATACAGTCTTAATGTAGAGATCTAAGTAGGACTTCAAAATGGAGAATATGACAAGTTCTTTAATCAAGTCTAAAATTGAGGGTGAAAAATTGTTTGAATCAAGTTGCAAAGTTTTCATAGTTTGGGAATGGTGAGTATTGGCCCTCAATTTTAGTGTATAGTCTGTGCCAATAGCAGAGAATGTTGGTATTGCTGTTCCTTGGCTGTTATAAGTTATTGGGCTCTTAATATTTTGTAATTAATGGTAATGGGTATAGATCGCCTCTGTAGATCTTTACTTGAGTGGAAAACTGTTACTGATGGCTGGAATCAGTTACATAATCCTGCTACAGTTTGTTGCAGTTATTCAAGCTATATTATCTGCTGGAAAATGGCTTCAACAACTTAACACAGACGAGGAAGACGATAATATGTTGCACTCAAGTCTGTTGAAAAAGCTGATTTCGACGGCTTCTTCTGCCAGTGTTATCAGCAGTGCAGCAAAAATGTTGTCATCTATAAACAAAGAATCTGCTGATCAGGGAGACATGACAAACTTGTTGATTTCATCTGAGGGGAGATTTCCTGAGGTCCATGCTTCGCATGGGGAATTTCATTTTAAATTTGCTTCCTTTTGGCCTTTTAATTGTATTTTGTGTTATCCTGAACATTGTTTGGTTTTATTACCATAAATAGGTTGTCCAAGCCCGTAAGGCCTTTCAGATGGCTGAGGATCGATTAAATTCTTTGATCATTTTGTACCGTAAACAGCTTGGAATGCGCAATTTGGAATTTATGAGTGTTTCTGGAATAACTCATTTGATTGAGGTAATTAATCTTATTCTTGAAAATCCTGTTATGGCTGATTGTATTGAACTTGATTCTGGTTACACCTTCATTACATTAGCTGGTGGTATTCTAATTACTTTATAGTTCATTCTCTTGTTTTTTTTTTTTTTCCAGATTTTCATTTTTTCCATTTAAATCGAAGACTTTGTTGATGTATCAATCATTTGGTGCTACATGTAGAAAAATATTTTTTTTTTTTGGGCTGACGGTAGGATTTGACGTTATATGATGCTTGCTGTGGTCTTAATTTGTGTGGCTTACACTTATAAACGGAATGAATAGTTAGGTATCTATTGTTGATTATCTTGTGCTTAACGTATATTATTTTCATTTTTTCCCTCCTTGGTACCTCTCTTTCCTCCCTCCTCCCCTCCTCCCCAAGGCAAGGAGGGAAAGTATATTTGTAAGACCTGCTGCTATTTTCTTTATTTCCTTTTGTGGGTTACGGTTTTGTATCCAATTGTGAGCTAACGTCATGTAAGTGTCTTGATTATTATTATACTTTTTTTCCCCCGATAAACTTAATATTAATCTCATGCTTTCGGGCTCAATAAGTTAGTTTGAAACTATTACCCTCTCCGATCCTTATTATATGACAATTTTAGTCATGTCATGCATCTTAAAAAAAGTTAGTTTTTTTTCTTGATATCATAAAAAAGTTATATGTATTTTCATTTTTACCTTTGGCTTTAAATAATAATACAAATACATTAAATACCTTCACACTAATCAAAAAGGGGTAAAATTAGAAAAATGATTTAATTATTACAAGATGTCCTGTATTTTAGACCAAAAATTACTTCTTAAAAGTCTCTTATAAATAGGACCAAAGAGAGTATATCCTTTCACAAGTTTAATGCTTGGTTGTGAATAAATTATAATTCTTGTGATTTGTTTGGCTAAAGGTATCCACAGATGTAAAGGCACCTTCAAACTGGCTTAAGATAAATAGTACAAAGAAAACAATCCGTTATCACCCTCCTGAAGTGTTAGCAGCATTAGACAAGTTATCATTGGCAAAAGAGGAACTCACCGTTGTCTGTCAAACTGCATGGAATAGCTTTCTGAAGGATTTCAGTAAACACTATGTGGAGTTTCAAGCTTGTGTTCAAGCACTAGCTGCTCTGGATTGTCTCCATTCACTTGCCATTCTTTCAAGAAATAAGGTTTGTTCCCAGAGAAGTTTTTAAGTACCTCCATATATTTGCGGAGATTTTTTAGTATAACTCTTTAGATTCATCTGTTGCAGAGTTATGTTCGCCCAGTATTTGTAGATGATCATGAGCCTTCTCAGATACAAATTTGTTCTGGTCGACATCCGGTATGCATCTTATGAATTGTGAATATTTTACAAAATTTGCATTAATACTTAAATTGATTGAGTTGCAAACTCACTTTTTTCATGCTGTGTGGGTGAGCATGTTTTTGGCATATCAGTGAGATTTAGCCATGCACCCTTGTTCAATCTGTCAAGTTCAAATTTCATGAATGTTACAGTTGGTATGTGGGATTGAATTGAGATACTCTTAATTATTGTAAGGAGCTCCAATTATATATAAGCATTTGGGTTTAAGCCCAACGGAACATATCCTTGACTGATGAAATTGTCTATTTTACTTGATGAGGAAGCAATCAAAACGCATTAGGTTCTTGATGAAATTTTGTTATCATGATAAATTGATAATTGAACCATTTTTGGTCCTTTTATTTTCAAATTGGTTGTCATTTGTCAGCTATTGTATGATTCCCCATTTGGCAATGGCTTGACTCTAATACCCTTAATTTTTTAACATTTTCCCCCTAATAGAGGGTTTTTAATTTTTCCAAAAACCTAAACTATACTCAAAGAGTAGTGTAACATTGTTTTAGGATATTTATTTAAGAGAAGAGTATGTAATGAATATATATTTTTATGGGGTGTTCATATAACTCTAAACCCACTTAGGGTTATATGAACATCCCATTAAAAATATTCATTAATGGAAGTCTATGTAATGAGTATTTTTATGGGATGTTCATATAACCCTTTCCCCATCTAGTGGGATGAGGCTTGTTATTGTTCATATAACCCTTTCTTTTGTGTTGTTTGTTTAATAACAGAATACTCTATCCTAATATTATTGGTTTGCAGTTTTGGGTGGCTTCCACTCTATCAATTCTGACTTAACCCCATTGCTGATTGCTAGACTCATTATTATGAGGCATTTCTCATCAGGTTTTGGATACCACCTTACAAGACAATTTCGTCCCAAACGATACAGACATGCATGCAGAGAGAGTATACTGTCAGATCGTTACTGGACCCAATATGGGAGGAAAAAGTTGCTATATTCGCCAGGTCGCTCTCATTACTTTGATGGCTCAGGTATAATCAGTTGTGTGTGTGTTTTGTACAATGATGTCTTTTATGTCTCATACCATGAAAACTTGAGGTAGATGACATAATTTCTCCATATGGCTGTTGCTTTATTGAAATATGTCCTGATATGTCTAGGTTGGCTCCTTTGTCCCAGCATCATCTGCAAAACTACATGTCATGGACGGGATCTACACTCGGATGGGTGCTTCTGATAGTCTTCAGCAAGGGAGAAGCACCTTCCTGGAAGAACTAAGCGAAACTTCACATATACTTCAAAGTTGCACTGGACGGTCACTTGTTATAATTGATGAGCTTGGGAGAGGAACAAGTACTCATGATGGCATGGCTATTGCTTATGCAACTTTGCATTATCTGCTGGGGCAGAAAAAATGCATGGTCCTTTTTGTGACACACTTTCCCAAGATTGCTGACATCATAAATGAATTTCCTGGTTCTGTGGCTGCTTACCATGTATCCTATCTGACCTCACCTGATGGTGCAAGGAAAACCTTCAACTCAGATCATGAAGATGTCACTTATCTGTACAAGCTTGCCCCTGGTGTTTCAGAGAAGAGTTTTGGATTTAAAGTAGCTCAGCTTGCACAGGTAGACTCTCGATCTATATGTTATTTTGCACTGCTGCTTGGGAAATTGACTTGAAAGCTGATTTCTATGAGAGAGAAAAGAATGAGAGAATGCTCTGGAAGGCCATTTCTGGAAAAGGAGGCTTACATGATTATTTGCTAAAAACATGAGAGCTGGGTACATTGGATTTGCCTTTGGGTCTGGTTTTGTCAGCTGAGTTCTCTGGTGATGTCATTATTAAATTTGCAAATATAATGAATGCTATTTAATAAAAATGATTACATTATGCTTTTCAGCTTCCTTCACGCTGTATTAGCCGAGCAACTGTAATGGCTTCCAGATTAGAGGAAGTAGTAAACAGTAGAATAAAGAGTAGATCTGTAAAGGATCTTCTGTTGGGTACAATGGTGATCGATGAAGACCAAGAAGCACAGCAGCGTATGCCTCAGCCACTAGATCGTTCATGTCAAGAGTTCATCAGCACTTACAAAGGATTCTTTTCAAACTTAAAGGCTGCATTTCAAGAGGATGATCTTGCAGAAAGCTTCCAGTTTTTAGAGCATGCTAGAAGCATTACAAAGGAATTAATTAGCAGGTGAAGTTAATATATTTTTTTTTTTAAAGAAGGAATTATTGTTGCTGTATAGATATTACCTTAGTATGCATCTCAATAGTCGCTATTAACTTGTGCTTCTTGAGGACTAAGTGGGGGTTATTTCCGATACATTAAGATTGTCGTTTTAGACCTTTTGACTCTAATTTTCTTTTGTCAAAATATTCATTATATGCACTAAAGTTAATCCTTTGATTATTTGCATCATCTGCAAATGACCATGCACCGGCTTATTGGAGTATGCTTGGATATTTACGTTTCTTATTAATGGGAAGACCATATTGTTGAGCTTGGAGATATGATACAAAATATCGACGCAACGAAGTGATTTAATTTTCTTCCTTTGCCTTTTCAGATAAATGCTGCTTTTTGAAGTGAGATGAAATGTGTCATTGACACACAAAGGCAGGGTTCAGAAGCTGTAGGACGTCTTTTTGGGTTAACATACAGCCATGGACGTTGTATATAGGACATTTTGCCTGAGAAGTTTTGCATGTTTTATCTGCTTTTTAATTCTCTTTTTCGTCCTCATTGTGCTCCCTCAGTTCGATCACTTTTCTTTGAGAAAATAGCATTTAACGGCCGCTGAGGAAAAGATTAATTGATTTTAAAATTGCACTGTAGTTTCTTGTTAATTGATATTAATTTTTAAAGTTAATTTTTAAAGTCAAAAGTTAAAAATGTCCCCTCAAATTAAAAAAAAAAAGCCGCATGTCAGAGCTATTGCTATCAGTGGCCGATTGCTAAAGCTCAAACACTGAAAACATTTTATTTAAAAAATAATTAGTTTAGGTGGTGAAGAGAGGGTTTAATCATATGATCCTTGGTCATCTAAAAAAGTTGGTAGCTATAAGACCATTAAACGATTTAATTATATATAAAAAAATGTGAGAAGTAAATTAAATTTTTAATTATTTTTGTGTTGTTAATTTTTGAACTTGTTATTTTATAACTGTTATTTGTTAATCTAACATGTATAACTATAAATTGAGAATTTTAAAACTTTACACATTTTATTTATTAAATGTTTGAATGTATTGTTAATCATGAATATTCTTATCAATTTTTTTAATCTGTTAAAATTAAAATAAATTATTGTTAATTTTGAATGAATTGTTGTGAAAACTTAAATATACACTTGTTAATTGCACTTTTAACATATAATGAAGTTCATCTTATCTGTTTTTTGAACGTGTTAAAGTTTGAATAAACTGTTATTGATTTAGAATGAATTGTTGTAAAAATTCAAATGAATATTTGTAGTTGATTAAAAGCATAGGTTTAATGGATTGTTATTTTTTTAGTTTGTTAAATCTCGATTTGACTATTGTTAATTTTAAATGAGTTGTTAAAACTCGAATGGATACTTGATGAAAAAATAACACATACAATTATGTTCATTCTGTATGTTTTTCTAGTTTGTTAAAGCTTGAATAAACTGATGTTAATTTAGAATGAGTTGTTGTCAAAATTTAAATAAATACTTTCTTGATAAAAAACTACCATGTACGATTATACTTATCCTACATGCTATTGTAATTTAAAATGGCTTGTTTTTTTATACCACCCTTCCATTAGACCTATATTTTTAATCATCAACATTAAATATTCATTTAAATTTTAACAACAACTCATTTCAAATTAACAATAATCTATTCGGGCTTTAAGAAGCTAAAAAAAGCATATAGAATTGATATAATTGTAAGTATTAGTCTTTCATCGATAAATATTTATTCAGGTTCTAATAATAATTCATTCTAAATTAACAACAGTTCATTTAGGCTTTAACAAGCTAAAAAAGTAACAATCCATTTGACATGTGATTAATAAGTGTACATTTAGGTTTTCGCTACAATTTATTTGAAATTGACAACAATTTATTTTGATTTTAACAAGTTAGAAAAACTGATAGGAAGAGCTTAATTATACGTGTTATTCATTCATTAACAAATATCCGTTTGAGTTTTGACAATAATCTATTCGTGATTAACAATATATTCAGACGTTTAATAAGTAAAAAGTCTGAAGGTTTAAAACTCCCAATTTATAGTTATCCATGTCAAATTAACAAGTAACATTTGCAAAATAATAAGTTCTGTTTAAAAATTAACAACACACCATTATGTTATTACACGGAACTAGTTAAAAGCATGGTTTACTAATTATATATATATATATATATATATATTGCTAAAGGCCACCAAGCTTTTTAAGTAACTAAGAGTTATGAGATCAAACCCTCCATTGACCACCCAAACTAATTAATTTTAAAATAAAATGTCACCAGTGTTAGAGCTTTGGTGACTGGTCACCAGCAACCTCACCGGCAGCAAGGACTTTGACAATCTTGCCCCCATTGATGATGGGGTTTCTTTTTTCTTTTTTAACTTGAGGGGCATATATTAATTTAAAAATTAATATCAGTCAAGGATTAAGGGATTGCAGTCAATTTTAAAGTCAATTAATCCTTAATCAATATTAATTTTTTTCAGCAGTTCTTGGATGCTATTTCTCCCTCTTCTTTCTTTCGTATCTGATCCCTCTCTACAGAAAAGTAAAGCGTATACATGCATTACTCATATGCCTTGTATACAGCACAACTTTTTTTCCCCTTTCGAGCCACGTGGGTATGGAACTCAGGACCTTTTGCATTAAGGAGGAGTTCACGTTACTAAACCAAAGGGTTCTCAACTCTACTCGGTTACTTAATAGTAAGTGATGTCATTTTTAATTTTCCACTTGCTCAAGTGGAAAGTTTACATTTTTCCATCGGTGGATTGGTTAGAACCCAAATTCCCGCTGAATGCTGGAAATTGGCTTCAGTAAGCCTAATTTATTCCTACCAAGCTAAAGAATGGCCAATTTTTTCCTCTTCCGTTTATTGATGCATATGATTAAATGTAAATAATATCGTTCAGCTCAATTATCGTTAAATTGTTTGCACTTAAAATTATTGTGATTTTGTTGTATTTAAATATTTATCAAATGATTTTACAATTTGATAAAGTTATAAAAATAATTTTACTACAGTAAAATGCATGCGTAATATAAATAAAAAATAAAATTTGGATAGGAAGATAATATTTTATTCTTAATCATTGTTAGATTTTTTGCTAATCAATAACATACAACGTTAAACGTGGGATTCCTCGTGAGTTGTGATTATAGAAGTCCAAGAGGTCGTGCGAGCCGTCTCTTTCTTCCTACCTCCCCAAGTCCCACCTACCAAACTTCTCGTTAAACTTAGCATCGTGTTGAACTGTTCACCAATCGATCATGTCTCCATTAAACTAATCAAGCTCTTCACATTAGAATGGTTTCTTTTAACAAAAAATAAAAATAATTACATCAAGAACATTCTGTTTACCAACATAGCTATTCAATGGAGGTCATCCCTAATTCCTGCTAAGAACAATCTCAGCTCCTTGGCTTTCCTCTTATGTTCAGGTGACGTGTCACTATCTGAGTCACTCAAATTTATCACTTCAATATGTTCACCATTAGACTGTGCGCACCTGGAGGAAGCACATGACTGCTTAGGTGGGGAAGGACTCAGTAAGTCAATGACCTCATATTTTGCCATGGAATCACCCTGCTGCTGATTGCCATATGTGTCCCTCACATTCTGATCCCATTCAATCTGTTCATCATGTGATGAATACGACAAATTTCTGCTATTCAGATCAGCTTCTTCCATGGCAGATGCATCATGAAATACCTGCTCTGATGAATCAGATGTCTTGTGACTGGCATGGTCTACCAGATTGACATCCAGTGACAGATTCGTGAGTCTCAGGTCAAGTTCAATCATAGAAGATGCAGTTTCTGATTTCTTTGGCCTTCTTTTCTGAATATTTTGTTTCTTAAGCCAACACTTTTTCTCCTCAAATTCTAGAATCTTCTCAGGACAAGCACTGGAGATGATTCATGATAGAACAATAATGATCATTATAAATTAATGACCAGGTAATACATTATCTGGATCTGGACCACAACTAGTTTCAAAGTAAATTTGGAAAACAAAAACTTAGATGAGATTTTTTATACTTTTGTTATCAGGTTTATTAATTTAAACATTAACCCATTGTTTTTCAATAATATTACACTTCTACAATTTTGCAGGATTATATATAATTTTTCAAAAATAACGTCATTATTGTATAACTTTTTTTGCAGAAATATATATTTAATTGCATTCCTTCCGTCCCTGAATATAGTACCTAATTGCCAAAATCACAGAGACCAAGGAAGTAAATTGCATCTAAATGTTTTCTTCTTCTTTCCAAAAGCTACCCCTCATTAAATGTTTTATCATGGTAAAATCATTTATTAGGGGTTTGACAAAATTGGATTGGGTGCTATATTTAGAGATGGAGAGGGTATTAACTATGAGAAAATGACAATTAGGGACCCCATAAGAATATTAATGACAATTACAGATCCTAAATTATTGAAATTTCAATAATAAATCATAGTCCTTAATTGCAATTAAAAAAAATGTGAATAGTCAATTGGGAAATGTACTAAAAACACTTGGAGTTATTTATAACATCAATTGAAAATTTACAAGCATTAGTTGTGAATGTCAATTTTTTGCTGTCAATATACAAATAAACCACTTGAAAAATCAACTAAATACATCACAGATTATTTGTAATATTAGTTGAAAATTTATGAGTCAATTATGAATCACAAGCCAATTACTTAAATTTTTTTTTTTGCTATTAATATATAGATTAATCACTTGAAAAATCTACTAAATATATTGGAGATTACTTGCAACGTCATTTGGAAATTTACTAGAGTTAGTTGTGAATTGTAAGCTGATCACTTAAAATTTTTTTTGCTATTACTTGGAAAATCAACATAACATAGATGGAAATCTTTATAGTATTAGTTCAGAATTTACTAAAATCTGTTGTGAATCTCAAGCCAATTAATAAAAGATAATTTATTGCAAATAAGGACCATTGTCTATTATTGGAATTTCAATAATTCAAAGTCTGTAATTGTCATTAATGATCTTATAGAGTCCTTAATTATTACCTTCCCATTAACTTTTATAGTGGAGTGGGTGGTTCCCCCATAAGCTATACACTTTCCATGTAATTACTGGAAAAACATGCAGTTTAATATTTTAGTTAGAAAACTTACCTTTTTAAAAGATCAGCCGGTACTATTGAAGTTCCAAGTCCATCCATTTCATTCCATGACACCTCGTAGCATTCTCTTCCTTGAACTTTTCGGCACTTTATGATTTCCGAGACAGGACACTTCACAGGGATCTGTGATAGGGTATGTTGCATGTAGTGTAAGAGGGCTATACATAGGAAGGCAGAAAGAAAATAATCATGTCTAAATATAATCATATAAAGCTAAAAAATTATACAAATCGTAGATGGAAAATATACCAAGCTTATATAGATGAAATGTGGTGTAAACTGTCAAATGCGATAAAAAGTAATGACCGCAAATCAGTAATCAAAGAGTGATTGTTGCATATAACAAAAAAAATTAAAAGGAAGTTATATTGCTAGCTGCAGTAGACCGTAATTAAATGATGATTCATGGCAAGGGCTAGCAGTACCTCATTCAAAGGAAGATTCACTCCTACTTGTGATGAAGTTAAGCGCAAATTGGCAAATCGCCGTAAATCCCTTTCAGCTATTTTTGGAAGGATATATTCATCTATGACAAGAATCATCAGTAAAATCACAAATCAAAATTACTTCCAAAAATTACTGGCCTGGTGTTGCCCTTGTAGATATTTAAGGTTCTTTCAAGTTTCCAAGAATTCTGGTTGAAAGAGGGATTTAAAAGAATTCTAAAACTCTAAACACCAATGTGAGAACCAACTGTTCATAGGTAATATCTAAATAAAATATGGACAAATAACCTTATCTGACAAGACAGAATGGAGCATGCAAGAGCAGTAGAAGAACCTGTTTTCTCCGGAGGCCACTGAAAGAATTCAGCACATATCTGTTGGAGTTTACTGCGTTGAAATGGATACTGAGCAAGAACCCTACAGAGATAGTCATTCATCCGCTGAAATCAATTCTGTACAATTTATGAACCAGATCTGACTCTTCAGACTATACATTAATATATAATTTTATTAATACATTCCACATTCAATTAGTGCAAATCCATAGCTGCTTTTGATGGACTTCGTTTGAGTTTCAATAGATTCTTATCAGGGAATATATCCAATCAATTAGTAGATAGACCCCAACTCTCACTGTCTTAAACAATATAGATCAGCATCGTCTTGTGCATGACACAAATCTAATCCCAGCGTAGATAGACCCCAACTCTCACCGGTCTCACCTTTGGCTTTCCAGCATGTTCTTCTTGAACATTCCATGATGTTGCGGGTTCTAGACTGTGTACTCGCAGACATATATCTAATCCCAGAGTTTGAGTAACTTAAGTTTTCAGGTACTCTGAATGAGACCTCTAGATGGTGGATCCAATAATCACAGTCAAGAATAAGGCATGAATGATGGTTTCAATGAAGCCCCAAGTCTAATTCCATGGCATAAGTTCACCCCGAGAAAAAAGAGCGAGAGAGAAGTGTTGTAGTCTTAGTTCTTGTAGGTAGTAACAAAGCAAAATCGCCAATTCTACTATATAATCAACATTTCAGGTATTCTTAGCGCTGCTAATGCTAATCTTGATATATTTCCAATAAAATTTAAGTGTCAATGAGTTACAATTAGTTAGTTAATAGATAATTTTGACGCAGATCCGTAGAATGATTTAGTTATTCTAAAGTTAACTGAGGTTACTGATTAATAGTTAAAATGGCATCAATACCAAAATCCTTACATTGTTGTAACTATAAGTCGTTTCTCCATCTTGATATTACTCCTTTCGAACCACAATACAGGGCATTTTCTAGAAATCTTGCTTGGTTCAAAATATAGGATATTAGGTGACTTTTACAATTATTTTTTCCCAACTATACCCCTACTTCATATATTACTCTCTTTGAAAAAATGATGCATTGGAATTTTAATTATTATTATCAAAGTACTTATATAAGGTATTTAATGAGAGTAAAATTGGAAAGATGTAAATTTTTTTAAGAAATCAAAGTTTTAACTAACATTTTTTAGAACCGTGAATTAGTTACCAATTTCCTATATTTGGCCTGAAGGATGTATATTATAATGAATCAGGCAACATCCACCTCACTAACACTAAACTAAAGTAAAACTACCTCATCACAATATCAGAATCTGCTGGGTGGCACTTCGGCTTCACATAAGCATTGATAACTTGCAAGAAGTTATAATCTCTTTGTGAATTGTTCTTGCCTCCTGCATGTGAGAAAACACAGAAACAAAGATGTGAACCTGACAACCAACGAGACAAATCAATATATAAAGCATGTTCATTCTAATAATGTTTAAGAAAAAAGAATATCAATGAATTAGACAAACCAATAATATGTTTGGAAACTATGACCAGTTGCGAAGTACAAGAGCATAAGAGACCTCTACCAAAAGTATATGTAAAAGATATACTTTCGAGACTTTAATTTGTTACAAACTCTCCAGAATTTAAAGTTTACTTCTAATTCAAGTACGTGTTGAAATAAAACTGAAAATGGATAAATTTATTGGCAGAAATCTCGAAGAAAATTACATTTGTGCAAATTTCAGGTCATGGATTAGAAGCAATATAAATGCTTTACCATGACTCAATGCCATATCATGGTCCAACATATTTTCTTTATTGTTCTTGAAAACTTGCCCCATCTTCTTTGCGCCTTTCAGTGTTTTCAGACATTCAATTCCTTCAGAAGCAAATTTTTGGAGCACACATTTGTCGCCAATTGACCTAACTATCTGACAAGCAAGCTCCTACAACCATAATAAAATTATCACAAGGTTATAAGCACCAAACAAACAGAGGGATTAGAAAAAAGGTATCATGTGACCATGAACAACGACAGGATTCATACTTACCGGACCTAGACCATAAACTCCTTGACTATAGTCACTCCCAAGAAGTAAGGCAAGAGCAATCTGAAGATTCCGAGTCACAGAACCAACGGTTATTGAGCCAGAAAGGGAACCCAGTCCCATAAAATTGAATTATTTACAGAATTGGAACATGGACTTATTGAACAAATCAAGATAGTAAGACTCTCCATAAGATGGAAACACCACTGATTTTGGTAAAAGAACATACAAAAGAGATATAAAATACTTGAAGAATTTAAGACTGAAAATTTACAAACAGAAGAATAGTGATATGTATACATGGATACATGCACAATGCTGGCTTCAGCCAAAGTTTCTACAAGGAAACTCAATTCAACAGTAGAAGATCACAACTCTGTGCCTCACACTTCAAAGGAAACCTTTGAAAACAAGTTCCTTGATGTAACTAGACCACACAAAGTGGTTCCACAATAGAGTAACTTCTGCTTTAACTGGTTTTTCAGGGTACTATTAACTGAAAAGCTAACATTGGCGGACCTTCCTTGACCTAGCTACTCTTTCACATCCTTGACGTGCACAAACCTAACTGATTGTAAGATTAAATAACATACTGACTGAACAATGAAAGTTCATCTAAATTAATTATACACAAAAACAAAACACCATGTATTCAAAAAGGCAACAGAAAGTTACCAATGAGTCCCTTCCAAATCCAAGTTTCCTTTCAATGTCTTCCATCTCATAGCAAACAACATATCCACCATCTCCTAACTCATCAATAAATGGTTCCTTGCATTAGTTAGCATCAATAAACTCAAAACAAAACAAATTTAGACATGATTCAAAACAGATCTACTCACCAAGGCAAATATCCCTATACACTGTCCTGGCACCAAAAAGAAAGATATCTGAATCTGAACTGAAACATCCATCCTGAAAGTAACCACAACTCTTAATGAATGAACTAACACTGATAACAGGTTAGCTATTAGCATAAGCATCCCACAGATATCAATAATTTCCAAATTGAAAGCAAAGAATAATTTGCAGGCAATCAATTGTTCTTACACACAATAATTCAGAGTTCAACAAAGCACATTGAGCTTCACCTTCTTCAATCCTGGATTAGCAAAAGACTAACAATGTTACTAGTTCGCATTAGTGCAGAAACTTTATTTCTTCTTCATGCCATAGTGAGGAGTGCAGATTCTTTTCAATTAACTTCTAGACAGAACAGAAGCAAATAGTACACATTTCTCATTAGTAGTACGAGTTACTAAGCTGTTTCTTTCCAGCTATCTGATACTCTCACATCCAAGTTTTCTTCATTCCAGGCTTCATTTTTTCTTTTCCTCTGATACTGTTTCTGGCTAAACTGAAAATAACACTCTTTTACGTTCACTGTCTGACAAGAAGTAACTACTCCTTAGTCCTAAGAGTTGGAAGCGCTTTCATAAGCAATATATTGATAATTGATAAACTCTGATCTCTCCAATGTATTGCTAAGACTAAGAACAATTAAGTTTTATTTGATCCTTATTAGTAGCATATTGTCCAGTTATTGGACCATGTCATTAAACATACATATCATACTATATAGGTCTGCTCCTTTCATCTCTAAAGATATAACAAATCAGTCCATCCATGCAATGCACAATAATATACAAATGAAAACTAATCCAATCTATATGCTTTAGTTCTGTTGAAGTCATCCATATTAAGCTATTATATTTATCATCATTAAAACAACATGTTGAACCTAACTTCAAATAGTAAATTACCCATTCAGACATGGGATACCAAGAGCCATCCCCAAGATGTGAGCCTCTTTTATCATGCACGAAAACTCAGATCCCCTGTTCCTCGGTAAAGAAGACACTTTCTGTAAGTTGCTTTCATTTTGTGCTACCTACATTATAATTGACTAAAGTGAGTAGAAATGGAAAGTTAGAAAAAGAAAATGCAACATGTAAAAAAAAAAAGAAGAAGAAGAAGAAGGGAGCATATATGAAGTAAATACTACTTACATCTTTTCCAGAGTTTAATCGTTGCCTATAAGTTGATAACTTGATAGCAGGAATTGATCCATCTAAGAAATAGCAAAGGGCACAGTATGTGAATGGATATGGCCGGATACTGTCAAACCAACAACATTCAGAAAGCGCAGAACGACCAGTAAAAGAGACACTGTAATTAAGTAAAGAAGAAGGAATGAGGATATGGACTATAATGTGATATCCAAAGCCTCGTAACAGATTGCATGAAACTGATTCATACACTGGAATTTTCCAACACCAAAATGAGTTGGATCAGTAACAGGACGTGAACCTTAGATGTGACCGTAGAAGTTCATTCTTCAGGGTCTCCGTAGAATTTTCAAAACAAGTCCTTCAATTAAAGAGACCAAGATATTCAAGAGCCATGGTGAGTTTTGCTGCGGGACAGCCCTTAGATTAGATAAGGCTAATATGCGTCCCACCAAATTCAAGTGTGTAAAACAGGTTCATCCAGTTCGACTATGCTAAGGCCTGCTTTTTTGAAAATCTCACTTGGACGCAGAATTTAAGGTTGTACAAATACTTCCTGGTTCTACCAGAGGAGATTTTCTGTTTTCAGTTTTTCTTGGCCACTATGATGACCATTTAGAACAAAACTCTTACTCGCTAATTAAAATTGAAATTTTTTTACATTTTTTCGGACCTGCTATAGCATGACTGTAATAGGTGATAAGTGATAACTGGTAAAGTAGAGTATCAAAGTCAACAACAAAATACGTAGTGACACACACCTGTGACAAAAATTAGGCTGCAATTCAAAGCAATGAGCGCTCTGATGCGGTGAAAGAGACCCGTGAGGTAGACTTTCTCCTTCACACACGATATGGATTTGCCCACATTCTGAAGTTGAACTATCCAACATGAGAGATCTATGCATATCCTTTTGTTCCTAGATTCGAATTCCAGCACAAGTCCATAAAGTCATAAAGAACACAAAAAATGAACATGAGAGAGAATGTAAAGTTTAAGGAAATTACTCACCGGAGATGGTGTAGTGGAATTGTTTTCTTGCAGGATTCAAGTATATCCCACAAGTGCTTCACGCCCATGAGGGAAGGGGGGGGGGAGAGAGAGAGAGAAACGTTGTAAGACTATCTATGAGAGGGTAGACCGATAGAGATGAAGAGCTGCAGGGTTTGAAGTTGCAGGCCACGGATTCGAAACCAGGCTCCCCCTCGCATCGCATGTCGAGGACGACCAGCCGCAAGCGACGTCGTTTTCAAGTCGTCTGCAGAAAGGGCGAAGGACACATAAGGACCATGGATGAAAATTAATTATTATAAAGGATTGTGAATTTTTTAAAAATTACAGAAAACCAGATTATGCAGAGGGGACACGTTGTTGGTGCTATTTTATTTGCTCACATCTATACTTTATCATGACAAAAACTAGAAAATGGCCCGCGTGAATAGGAAGAAATTTATTTATTTATTTATTTAGTTTTCTTTTTTATGTGTCTTTGATCATCATGTGGATATTTATATCTGTATATCTTTAATTATGTCAAATCATAGCTTAATAAAATATGACTCTTATATAGTATTCAATGTATGGTCTAATTTTAATATGTCATGACACATTATAGTCTTTTATTTTTTTTCTTTTAGCGATTAAACTTCACCAGTCTTAGATTGAATAAAATATGATTACAATAGTTGAATAAAAATAATATAGTAGATCCTTGTATTTGTTGCTTGTGCCTTATGGGATCTTTTCTACAGGAAGAGTATATTCATTAAAGCACGAAATCTAGAGGGCCTTGATATAATATAGGATAAAGTAATTAAGGGGAAAAAAAAAGAAATAAAAGTCATACTCATACATGTGAAACTTACAAAATAATAAATCTCATCATGGTGTCTCTTTTTCTTTAATTCAAATGAAACATAATTTAAACAGTCTCAATTATTCTTATAAAAAAAACTCTTGATTAATAAATCATAGTATTAAACCATGTTGTGAGTGAATCCAACCCAAAAGAAAAAAAAAAAAAGAAAAAGGGACAAGGAATTAAGTTGTTGATTACCACTAAATGTACATTTCCTTGTCCCATTGCTCCATCATTGCCTTGTGTATTATCCAACTTCAACACGGACAATGTCCCTTTGAAATGATTTATATGAAAGGGGATCAGTTACTTAATGCACAATTAATAGTTGTATAAAGTGTAATGATTTATATGAAACTAATTAAAAATAAACTAATGAAACTCGTAAAATATAAAGCAAAAAGTGAGATTAAACAATTATTTATTATGCCAGCATGAGTCATTAGAAAAGGCCTTTTAAAAAATTTGTTGCATTTTTTTTAAAAAAAAATCCGCTTGCAAGATTTATGACTCATGCGCTAAATGTACAATAAATTATTTGTAATAACAACTTGTTAATTTTACAATTTATTACTTTTGTTTATACTGAAAATATAAATATCTGTTTTTATTTATAAACTTATTATTCATGGAAAAATTAAAAGGTAATTTGGAAAGTACATAAATAAAAAATATGTTGCTCTGGTATCATAAAAATACAATATAAAATAGGGTTAACGAGCTAATAAGACCCTAAACTCTTGCTTAAAAATTGCCCTAAATCTTAAACTCTTAAAATGTGTAAAATAAACTATAAACTTTTAAATTCAAAGCAAAATAAACTTGATCATTAACTTTTTTAACGCTGTTACTATTCATGCAAGTATTGTTCACAGTGGGCTCCAATTAATGCTAACGTGTCATTGTGATTTAGCATCACAAATTCTAAACTATTGTGTTAGTAGCGTTCTGAATCCTGAAATATTATCTTAATAGCATTCTGGACCTTAAACTTTAAAATTTTGAGTAACTTACCCACATCATTTATGTATAGAATGTTGACTATTATGTAAACTAAATTAGTTTCAACATGGTTCGCTACAGTGAATGCATTGTTGGCCATGGTGAACGACATATAATTTTATAAAATGACATTTTTGCCCCTTTTTTGCAATATTTTCCAAACGATTGGTATCTCATTTTGTATACTCTATAACTCTAATTTAATTATTATTTTAAATAACGTTTATTTATTTAATGGTGAAAACTTAAGATCCCATTTGAAAAGAAGTTTAAATATTAAATAATTTTAATTAACCAACTAATTTGAGTTTAAAATTCGTTGGTGAAATCATCGGCTTTCGCATATATATTCTGTAAAATCTTATGATACTTAAATTTTTTTTCAAATGGGATCCTAAATTTTTATCATTAAATAAATAAACATTATTCAAAATAAGCTTAATATGAAAACATGAGATACCAATCATTTAAAAAACATTGCAAAAAGGAGGCAAAAAATGTCATTTCAAAAAATTATAGATTGTTCACCATGGCCAACGATCCATTCATCGCGGTGAACTATGTTGAAGCTAATTTGATCTATATAATATTCAACACTTTATACATAAATGGTGGGGGTAATTTGCTCAAAATTTTAAAGTTCAAGGTCTAGAATGCTACTAACATAATAGTTCAAGATTCAAAACGCTACTAACATAATGGTTTAAGGTTTGTGGAGCTAATTTACAATGACACGTTAACATTAATTGGGCCCACAGTGAATAGTACCTCGGTGTGAACAGTGTAACATCCTAAAAAATTTAACCTAAGGTTGATTAGGTTATTAAGGACAAATTAAATAATTAAGAGTTAACTTAAATTTAAAGATAATGTACGGATAACTAATAGATTTATCAGACCTTAATTAGGGTTTAGAATTGAACCCTAAGTGGTATCGGGCCACATTTAGACCCAATTAGATGCACAATGTTCGAAACCTAAATTTTTGGTCTTTGACCATAGCCAAAAGTCTCTTGACTGTAGTAAGAACTCGATTTGTAAGCCTCCAAATTCATATTTCAACTCAAAAAATTAGGGAGTTAAGTAGAAGTCTGAAGGTGAATGAGGAGAGCTCTGCTAAGGTTTATTGTAGGCATCTAATTGAGTTTATTTAGAGCTTCTAATCACTTGGATAAGTCGCTACAAACTCTTCTCTTCCTCTCTTGTGCATTTTCATCATTATTTTTGGGTAGTTTTTTAGAAATCTAAAAATGGGTTGTGATTTTTCCTAGAAGTCTGACTTCAAAAGGATTAATGGATGTTTATTTAAGTATTTAACTTTTGGGTTATAGTGCAAATGAAGTTTTAGAATTTCAAAGTGATGTTTAAAGTAAACCCTATAGCTAATTAATTGAGCTAAGAAGGTTATGAGTTATTAATGGTGTTGATTAGACTAATGAGAGTCTAAGTGAACTAATGAAACCTAAAAATAGATTTGGTTGTGGGTAGATGACCACAATGAGATTTTTTTAGTTTAGGTTTTGATTAGAGGTAATTAAGGATAATTAGTCGTTAATGACTATTGATGCGTTTGATTGTAGGTTGATCATTGTTGGTACTATTGAGCTTATTGGAGGCTCCATTTAATATTCATAGGTACTCCTGATTAGTAAACGAAGAGTTTAGATAATCGAGAATTTAAGTATAGTATATCATTATGTCTGCATTTACACTTTAAGCATTATTATAGATAACTTGAATAAGCTTATGAATGAATATGTTGATTTTAAATTATTACCCAAACGTGAAACATGACTCATTGTGATGAAATATTTGTTGATTATATTTATATAGACGTTAAGCTTAGATTACCTATGAGAAGAATATGTTAACATGATGAGTGGTCATAATTGATTATGTTAGAAGAGATGTGATAAACATGCAAGTTTTAAAAATTATGAGGATGATGAATTACTATAATATGCATAAGCTTATATTTGCATTTGTTGATTGAATTTGCATGATCATAATGGGCAGGAGTTCACTTTAGCATTATAGAAAGATTATGATAGAAAATCCACATGGTGTAGCCTCCACTGAGTTTGTGCATAGTGGTTGGCATACTTTATTACTTTATGAGCTTAGTATTGCCAACAACCTTCAAGTGTGGCATGGGTCAGGCATGATGCTCAGTATTATTGATCCTGGATTGGATGATATAGGTCAAACACTTATGACATCTTAAAATTTAAGTAGGGAGAATTCATGGTCCAAAAGTGAGTGTGAGAGTCTTTGGCCAGGTGACCCTTCATAATTAGAGAATGGGGCTAGTCGAATCACATGGGCTAGATCTATATGAGATAATAGCCCATGGATTCGGTCAAATGATATAAGAAGTGATATAAAATGGTTGCATTTGATCATGCAAAACACATTTTGACGATGCATTGTAAATAATGTTAGTTTTCCCTGTATGATATTAAATGCTTAATTATTATAATTGCCACACTTTAATATACTTGATTAAATTATTTGGTTACTGAGATATTTATCTCACTTCCGTAGTTTAATGTTTATAGGGGAGGATCAATCTAATAGCAAAGGGGAGACCTATAAAGCTAGAGACTGAGTAATCAATTATAATGTCTTTAGTTTTATCTTTTATGTATAATTTAAATACAATATTTTTTCAACTAGGGGTCTTTCATATTGATTTATGTTTGCTTGAAGTCTACTTGCATTTATAGTCTTAAATATTGAATTTAGTCATTTTTAGATTTTCTTAGCCATAGAAGGGTCCAAACTCCTAATTTAACCATGGTAGTGTGCCAAAATAGTTTGAAAAAGTATATCTTGATAAGTTATATGAGTTTAACATGTTTTGAGTGATTGTTTAGCTTGAATGTAAATAATTACATTTTTACCCCCTTATTATGTACTTGATAGTGGTTGGGTGGCCAGCTCTTATATTAAGAGTGTTTTAATGATTGTGACTATTTGAAAAAGTGTATTAGGAGTTATTGAGTATGGTTCAAGCTCTTGTGTGGGTTAATGGGTTATGGTTTGAGATTTGGATACTTAGTTGATGGTTTAAAGGTAAAAATGTGAAATTATGGTTCTAGGTATCCAAATTATTCATGTGATGTTGGATTGACATGAAACCAAAACTATTAGCTATGTTATGAAATTTTTGACATGTGAGCACTTAAATCACCTCAATCGAAGGTCCAAGTTGAAAGTTATATGCATCAAAAGTTCATAGTTAGGGAGCTATCATGACAGTTGTTGTCATATTTTTTGCCATGGCCAATATATTTTCGGCTGCAGCCAAGAGAGAATTGACTACAGCTAAAACTTTCTTGGAAGTGTTGGCCAGGACTTAATGTTTTCTGCCTGCAACCAAGTACTCATGTTAAGTA